CTGCGTGAAGGTGTTCGGCACAGCGCTGCGCACCGTGGACAAGCCGGCGTCCGCCCGTGTCTGCGGTGGCGAAGATCAGGGCTGGCTTCACGGGAGAGACCCGAGCGTGGACTCATACTCTGCAGTCTCTGTACAAAAGTTTTGTTTGTTTTGAGAGAGAAATTTTTGGTATAGTGCTTATGTGCTCACCGGAAAGACAGAGAGAGACAGTGAGATACCCCCTCCTGCCCAGGGAAGATGGCCACATCGCAGTTCCTCCTCCATTCTCCTCTCGGAGTTTCGGGCACACACGCACACACGCCCACTGTGAGTTTCAAGGCGCCAGGTCCAAGACTCAAATCGCGGTCTGCCATGTGGGAGTCCAGTGTCATAACCACCATACCATCTGCTGGCACCAGTACTAAAACATTTAAAAATGTATTTATTCATTTATTGCACGGGAGAGAGTGACAGAGAGAGAAAGAGAAAGGACAAGCACCCAGGGTCTCACACCACAGCCCTCTCCCAGCCTTCCCAGCCAGGATCAAGGACACGTGGCACACACGGGGGACCCAGGAGCTGACTCCCGTCTTCCGCACAACCTCTGGCCTCGTAAAGCTCTGAGCTCCTGCTGGCCACTGTGGCTGGGCCCGTGTGGAAATTCTTAATCTTATCTTTGAACTTGCGCTCTGTCCGTGGACTTCGGCCTGTGAGCCAGCAGAGAGGCGGTCAGAGGGAAGGAGAAAGCTTTAATTTAGTGACTTTTTCCTGGTTTCTGAACGGGCACCGTGCTTTCACCCAGCCATGGGCCCCACACACGAGGTAGCTGGCCCTGTGTCCACAAATGCGAAGGACACTAGACCGGAGCCAGGACACTGGGCTCGAGGGTACCCGGCTCTGGGCCTCAGTTCCCCATCTGGAAATGAAGGGTTGCCCAGGTGATTCATAAAAGCCCCCAGGGCTCTGATGCTATGAAATTAAACAGTCATGAAAAAGAGACAGCGTGTAGAATGTCTCCGCACCTGGGAAAACCACTGAGGAGAGTCAGACACAGAAGGCAGCCCGACCACAGCCCAGTCACCGCCTCGGGCTCTAACGAAGGAGCCCGCCAAGGTAGGGAGCGTACTCCAGGGAAGTAGCAGAGGGAGGCTTCCTGGCTCCTGTTTCTCTGTAAGGAAAACGAGTTCCAGAGGCCAGCAGGAAGCGTGCTCATGGGCCAGGTCCTGCCTGCACAGGGCGCGCAGGCCGGGCAGGATCTTCAGCTTCCCTAGCCCACACCTCTTCCTCTCCCTGTCCCATTTCCTGCTGTCCTCCTGCTCTCCCTGCTGCCACCTCCCTCTGCTGAAGCTGCGACTGGGGTGCAGGGAGAAGGCAGGGCAAGGCAGGGCACATGCGGTCCCCCCTCCTGGCTCTGCAAGGAAGCTGGGGTGTGCTGAGGGTGGGCTGGGTGGCACCACCAAGGCCCCTTCCGTGGCCGTTGGCATGACTGAGCTCCACGGATGCTGAGGTCCTTACACCCGCAGGTGCAGCATCCACCCATTCTGGGCGGTGCCGCTAGGGCCCAGGGTGGAGTGAGAGATCAGAGGCGCTGCGGAGAGGTGGGAGGGGTGCTGTGAGAGGGGAGCAGTGGGAGAGCCAAGGTGAGTCAGCTCTGAGCAGAGCTGAGCGAGCGAGCTTGCAGTGGTGCCCACAGGGACCTGGAGCTTTCCTGCAGCTGAGCGCTGGGCGCTGGCTCCCTTGGGCGCCTCCCTCAGTGCCCACACCCTGTCACCTCCCTGTGACACTCCGGAGAGTCTTGGTTTGGGGCTCTTATTCAATTTGCCAACCCTCCAGGAGCAACCGTCAAGGTCTGAGTGAGCGGCAAACAGGACGATGTAGATGTCTAGGGGGACCTTGACATACTCGTATGTTGCTCCAGATGGGGGTACCCTACATGAACCTCTTCCCCACCCTGGGCTCTGGCCTCTTGTACATCTTCCAAGGTATGCTCCAGGTCAAAGGTGCTGAGCCCAGAACACCCAGGCCTGAGCCCTCCCTCACTGCCCATTGCGCAGGGTGTTGAAGCGCCCTCGAGGGCACAGCGGGAGGCAGAGCGTGTTTTTGG